GCATTCTGCATTTGTCACCAGAGAGGTTGGTGAAAAGGCAGAGGTACAAGCAGATGGGAATTCACACACCTTTGAAAAATGCCTCTCTTAATGAACGACTATTGTGATGTTGTATCAGAGTGAAGTAGGAATATGCATGGCTGGGTGGTGTACTCAGGGGAAATCCTGGAGAGAAATTTCCTAAGTTTCCCTTAAGGTGAGGAGTGAGTTCTTTCTCATCTACCTGTGAGGGTCTGGTTAGGGATTAATGTAGCCTGTAGCTATCGGGCTACAAATGAGGGGGGGGGGTGTTGTGTTGTGATCCCAGCTGCATAAGGCTCTCACTTCAGGAAGGAAGGCCAGTAGGAAGAAGTCATGGTTGCTGGTATGCATCTACTCTTTCTCTAAAATTATTGGAGGCACAGCAGGTAAGGGAAGGCCGCTGACATTTTGCTAGCAGTTTTCCTGTTGCCTTTATCAGCCACTATGCCTTTTTTTCTTTATTGTATACAGGCCACTGGGGGCCCAGAAGTAGAGGGGTGGTTGTTTCATTCTGCTTGTGGGAAGACAGTATGTCTTATATAAGGGAAGTGGTTGTACGGGGGAAATCTGTTCTGGGTGACAACTGCAGGGAAGGAAGCTAAGCTTGGTAGCAGCACACCACTAAGTAAAGTTTGTTCCATCTAATGCAGTCCCCATGCATGATTTGTAATCTTGCAAATACTATACGTAGAATGTGCTGTTTTCACTCTTAAACCAACCAAAGCAAATTAAAGCACCATTTTTTCAGCGAGAAGCTTCTCTGCTCTGCCTTCATCTTTGGGCAGGGAACACGTTGTTGCATCATTAGTTAGGGTGAAGGAGCATGACAAAAGTCAATGAGGGAATCTGTCCAGACTAGTATGACCAGCATGTAATTATCCTGACAGTGAGATGCAATGTTCAGAAAAGTATTTTTGGTTTCTGCACAAATTATGTTGTGGTTTCCCCCTCATGCCTTAATAGTCATTTTCTCATAACCAGGATCATCCCCCCCTAACCCTTGCTTTCATATAAGTCCTCGACCGTTATCTCCTTATTAGTTATTTAGTGAACTAAAGAAGTAGTTGTTGAGTTGTCAGTATTGTAAAGTAGGGTAGTGGAGCATTTTGAGGGCTTTCGTTTGGTTCCATGAGTCAGATAAATTGTGCTGGCTACTGTGTGGTACATGAGGTCAGGGCTACACACATATATAGGCAGCTTCTCAGAAACAAAGTTGGCTTCAGTTAAATAATTTGAAAAGAAATGTCTCGACACAAATTGGTTTACCAAAGGGTCATGTGAGTTACTCAGCTATTCACGTGTGAATTAAAGTTAGAACATAGTTTGGGTGAGTGTCCCCCGACCAAAGGAAGTCTGAAGTGGGAATGCCAGCAATATAGTAACCAGTGGGGGATCTCTGAGGTTTTCAGTCAGCTTTTTCATTTACTGATAGGTATCGGCTTTCTCACAATTGAGAAATTGTCTCTAAGCCTTGGTTAACAAAAGGATGCAGTGGGCCTCCCACAGTTACCTCTTCCACTTAGCTGATAAGCACTTTCCCATGTTACCAGTGTACAGTAAGTAGGAAGCCAATGGCTGAGAAACCATTTTACGGCAGCAACTCTCAAACGGGGTACACATCTGCACATGTAAAACACTATGATACAATTTTAACAGGCATGGATCCCTTCCCCAGATCCTGGGGACTGTAGTTTGTTAAGAGAGTTGTCAGGAGACCTCTGCTTCCCTCACTGGAGAGCCAGTGTGGTATAGTGGTTGAGACTGGTAGACTCGTAATCTGGTGAACCGGGTTCGCGTCTCCGCTCCGCCACATGCAGCTGCTGGGTGACCTTGGGCTAGTCACACTTCTCAGCCTCACTCACCTCACAGAGTGTTTGTTGTGGGGGAGGAAGGGAAAGGAGAATGTTAGCTGCTTTGAGACTCCTTAGGGTAGTGATAAAGTCAGATATCAAATCCAAACTCTTCTTCTTCTTCACAGAGCTGCAATTCCCAGAGCTCTGCAGGAAGATGAAGATATGGTTAAACCACTCTGGTATTTGTAGCACCGTGACAGGAATAAGAGTCCCCTAACAACTCTCAGCACCCTTACCAAACTACAGTTGTCAGGATTCTTTGGGGAAAGCCATGACTATTAAAGTGGTAGAGTGAAGCTTTAAATGCTAAATGGTGTGGATGTGGCCAAAAATAGTGTCAATGGAGCCACTGTCACAAACTCCCAGAAGCATGTCAAAAGAGATAAGCAGTGAGAGACTCAGGGCTCAGTTCATATGTTCATATAGCATGAGGGTCAGCAGAGGCTGTGGTGTCTTTAGGATATATAGCTTTATTTACACATATATACAATCCAAGCATAATATGGAGGGGCTCACAGAATTAACACCCCAACAGATCTTACTTCTCCCTTGGTCACAGGGTTGGTCCACACTTCCTTTTGTGCCATGCTTTGAGGCACAGGTCCATGTTTCCCCCAGGAAAACCTGCCTTTCACCACTGAATCGGAACAAACGGCAATTGGGCTTTCAGTGGATTGTTATTTGCTCTGAATCAGTGGTAAAACATGGGTTTTCCGATTATTCTCCACAGTGTCTTCAACTGCTCAGAGGTTTGCTAGATATTCACCAAACATTTGCTTTTGGTATCCTTAACTTGCATATTCATATCCGATCGATATTTCCTTTCAACATTTGATATTTGACAGTGTTTCATACTTGTACAAGCTGACATGGGCAGCTAACATGGACAAGTAGCATACAATGTTTGTTGACTTTAAATTATATTTAGCAGCTGGCCACACTTGTATGTTTTAAATATGTATCAGACATCAAATATGTAATATTCAAAACTATCAGCAGTTTCCAGTAAAGTTACATTGACTCCGTTTTGGGACGGATGGGGTGGAATTCACAATTTTAAAAAAATGTATCTTGAATCTGAAATATCCCATCCAAACTTTTAGTGGCAAAACTGGAAGATTTATCAGATTTTTGAATTTGTTAAAATATTGTGTTGACAGTTTCCTCTGTATTTTATTACTTTATAATATTATGAAGTTTTAATGATGTCATTGTACCTCATCATTATACTTTTCTATGAGTTGGAAGCTTGTAAATAATCAAATAAATAAATAAATAAATAAATAACGCTCTACAATTCACTTGCCCACCTGACTATTTCACCCCACACCTATATTCCTGGGGTAGAATTAAGTGTCACTAAAATACAATTTTCCATCTGTGGCCATTTCTGTTTACCTGGTAGAACAATCACCCCTCTCCTATCCTGCATTTTCCCAACCATCCAGAGTGAATTGGTGGGGAGTGGGGAAGCAGCAGGGAGAGAACATTGTGCTACTGGGTGATCCTGCACTGGCTTCTGCTAGTGCACCAAATTACAGCAGTTTAATCTGGGCCCTGGGGACTTTTCCCCATATAATTCATCATGTGCTAGATGGAAATCAGAGCACAGGGTGAAGCTGTTACAACAATCATTTTGCCATGCATTCAGAATTTAGAGCAGGCCAAGGAACAAGAGCTAAAGCGCAGTATTGTAATGTATGCAAGCTTTTAGTCGCATATCTTTTAACTGTCTCTTTCTGCCAACTTCCGGTTAGTAACTCATTATTTGTCTTGGCATATTGGTGCTGGTGAATGTTCCTGGAACAGTGTTGTACTGATGTTGTTAGATAAAGCAGTAAGCGAGTGCCATCGTGTTCACACTGGCTAGCAGAGCAATTTTTAGGCTAGGCCCATTGTGTTTAAACGGCATATTTCCATACGCAGGTGGTGACCATTTCATGTAGGGGTTCCGTTCCTGCCCCCCGCGGACATTAGCAGAACATGCATAAGCATGTCCCACCCCCTTATGCCCCTCCCCCTTATGCCTGTGTTACACCCTCTTCTGGGTCCAAAACGACCTGTGCATTGGCGATCGCATGTCAGCTGGTCACTCCTAAAATGCTCACCACCCGTAACTAATCTAGATTAACATCCAAATAGCTTTGGCAAACATTTCAAGATTAGAAAATCTGTAGTAATTAGTGAGCCCCATTGGCATTATATAAGAGAACAAGGGAGGTGTTCATGATGAGTTCTGGCACCTCTTTTTCTGGAAAAATAGCACTGGTGCTATGTATTAAATCACTTAGTCATCTTTCTCAAAAACTATGCAACGTGATTTACATTAGATAGCATCAGACAAAATTTGACAACCATCTGCCATCACAGCAACAAGCAAAGGTACTGCTTATAGTCAAAATGTGTTTGCAACAATTTTACCTGGAATTGCATCAGCCATATGCAAACAAGAAACTGGTGCAAGTACTGAGAATTTAGAGGATTCTGTTGAAAACTCAAGTTGTTAATCTAATAAACATTTATTGATGTACCGTATTTTTCCATGTATAAGACTAGGTTTTTTTAAAGCAAAAAATTAGGTTTAAAATTGGGGTTCGTCTTATACATGGGTAGTGCTGAGGGGTGTTTTCTTAATTTGGAGTCCCCCAAAATAGAGGGCGTCTTATACATGGGGGCATCTTATACACGGAAAAATACAGTAAATTTTTCCATAAGCCCTCTGGTTAGTTTAGGGTGGGGAAAACTGCCGCCACTATACATGTATGATGGGGAAGCATTTGATTTCACTTCCCAATATCACATGCTATTGTGGTTTGGAATTTAAAATATGAGTTGGCCTGAGTGAGTCTATATGACGGTGTTAGTTATATACCACCATAAACAAACAGCATCAGAGAAGACCACAGACTTGTCTCATCAAACTAGCTGGCTACCACTTCTGCCTTTCATGGGGAATATTTTTAACTGGGAGAGAATTTAGGCCAAATAAAAATATGCTGATTATGGATGACAACTTTTTTCACATCCTTTTGATTGTAAGCCTGAGGGCAATGGCCATCTTACTACTGTGTTTTTTTGTTTTTGTACACCACTTTGAGGTCTTTTTGGCTAAAAAGCAGGTTATGAGTCTATGGCCATACTACCCTGAACCCGCCCGATCTCGTCCGATCTCGGAAGCTAAGCAGGATCAGGCCTAGTTAGTACTTGGGTGGGGAAAAGCAGGTTATGGATAGGAAGCATAGGAACAAAGGAAGCTACATTATTCTGAGCCCAGCCATTGGTCCATCTAGCTCAGCAATGTCGGAACTGACTGGCAATAGTTCTCTGGGGTTTCAGGCAGGGGTCTCTGGGCCTTACCTGAAGATGCCAGGAATTGACCTTCAGGATGCAAAGCAGATGTGGTGCCACTGAGCTATGGCTTTCCCCCATGGTTTCAATCAATTATTCTAAAGTGGCATCAGTGAGAATTTTTTCCTGCTCAGTGCGAAGCAGTGGTCTCTGTATGCTACCTTGAGCACTGGAAAGCCAGCTTATAATTTTTAAAACAATAGTTATGGTGCAAATGAAGAACTCATTGCGCATTATCAAATAAGTAGGTTTGTTAAGAACTGGAAATCCAGTGATGGAATTATTAATATTTATTAAATTTGTATGCCGCCCTTCATCTGAAGATCACAGGGGCAGTTTACAACATAAAAATACAAAATGAAAATACAAAATACTTGATAAAACAAAAGCCAAGCAAACCAATAACCTCCCCTCCCACAGACACATTTTAAAGTCCATAGAATGTTAATCAGCCCAATGCCTGGTTGAAGAGTTTTCGCCTGTCACCTAAAGATGTGTAATGAAGGCGCCAGGAATGTAGGAAGGAAGGCGAAAGGGTAGAGAAAAGAGGTGTTGGGTTGCACTAATACTCTAGTAGAGGAGTAGCCTCCATTTACTTTATTTTGGGATACATTTGTATGTAGCCAAATGGCGTTGCTGAAAAACCAGAAGTGTTGATGTCTGCTAAACATGTGCTTGCTGGTTTGGATATATTTTCATTACTAAATAGAACACAGGGAATGGGAGTAAACCTGGCACCCGCTCTCTCCTCCCCACTTTGAGGACTTTATTCCCAGTAGACTCACTTTTGCCACTGGAAATAACTGGGAGTGGGGAATTAAAGTGTGCAGTGCAGCGAAGCAAGCAGTAGAGGGGGAGTATTTTACTCCTGTCTCCCATCCATTTAGACCATGATCCTAACCCCCACTTACACGAGAGTAAGGTCCATTGAATTAATGTCTGCTTCTGAGTATGCATGGTTAGGATTAAAGGTAAAGGTAAAGGGATCCCTGACCATTAGGTCCAGTCGTGACCGACTCTGGGGTTGCGGTGCTCATCTCGCTTTATTGGCTGAGGGAGCCGGCATACAGCTTCTGGGTCATGTGGCCAGCATGACTAAGCCGCTTCTGGCGAACCAGAGCAGCACACGGAAACGCCGTTTACCTTCCCACCGGAGCGGTACCTATTTATCTACTTGCACTTTGACGTGCTTTCGAAGTGCTAGGTTGGCAGGAGCAGGGACTGAGCAACGGGAGCTCACCCCGTCGCGGGGATTTGAACCGCCGACCTTCTGATCGGCAAGTCCTAGGCTCTGTGGTTTAACCCACAGCGCCACCCACGTCCCATGATTAGGATTACGTTGTGATTAAAAATATATATAGACCCACAGTCTATTTTTATAGCCAAACAGTGAGTGTGTGTTTAGCAAACATACTTATGTGTCATTTGGTCCTATGCGTTTTAGTTCCAGAGTGATTTAATATTTGTTGTGCTGTACTATCTAAACTTTGCTGTACTGTCTGAACTTTACTTATTATCACTTTGTTTAAAATTGTATAAACTACCCACCAATCCAAGTACAGTGGTACCTCAGGTTAAGAACTTAATTCGTTCTGGAGGTCTGTTCTTAACCTGAAACTGTTCTTAACCTGAGGTACCACTTTAGCTAATGGGGCCTCCCGCTGCCGCCACGCGATTTCTGTTCTCATCCTGAAGCAAAGTTCTTAACCCAAGGTACTATTTCTGGGTTAGCGGAGTCTGTAACCTGAAGCGTCTGTAACCTGAAGATTCTGTAACCCTGTAATCTGTAAGATTACCACTGTAATCTGATAATACAATAAACCATAAGACATCATAAAATAGTAAAGACTAAAAGGCAGCAGCTAAAAACCCTTTAAAATGGCTGGGGAAACATGTCTTAAACTGGCACTGAAAACATTGGAATGCTAATTAATCTCCTCTAGGGTGGGAATTTCAAAACCAGGGTGCTACCACAGAAAAGGCACCTTTCTGCAAGTATAACTCACTTCAGCAAGTGGCGGCATTCAGAGAAAGACCTCAGTCGGCAATCCTAATAATCATAACACTAGGTTAAGTTGTCTCTAAAGTCTCTGTCTTTCTAGGGAGGAAAATGGTGATGATGTAAAACAAATAAGCCCTGAACATAGTTATTTATAGACATATGTACCATCTGATAAAACTCATTATCAGTGTTCTAATAAATATTCCTTCCTCCCCACCTACAGAAGGTGGTTGTGTCCGTAACCGTTGTCATTAGGTGAAAATAAAGCATCATCTTTGCTCAACTTGTTCCAAACACAGTCATAAAATGTTATATTTATCGCACAGCTAGCCGTGACTTCCAGTTATACTTATGATGCAGCAAAATGGCATCACACCTTCGTTTTATCTTGGAACATGTTGTTTTGAAATTACCTCCGGTTTTCAGTAGAAATTCTAAACCAGCACCTTCTTATAAAGTGAATTAAAGGTCAACATGAACCCAATAACTTAACAAAGGTAATTAACACACTGTAACATCTATCAAGCATTTGTAAACACTGTTTATAAACACAGTTTTATACCGTTTTCTGTTCTGAGGTCAGTTCTGTGCAAATTGCATGCAGACAGGGGCTTGGATGCAAAAAGCCCCACGTGCCAGCGGACTGCAAATCCATCCAGTGAGGTTGCTTATTTTCCATCCCAGCCTGCATACACTTTTGCAGCTCCTGCCCTTTTCGTACTGAGGCAGTGTTAAAGCTGGTGTCGATGTTTTGCCATACTTTAATAAGATGCCTACTTGCAATTCAAAATTCTTAATTCTGACAAGCAACCAATTAGACAGCTTACCTTAAACCTGGGGTGCAGAACCTTTTTGGCCGGGTGGGCTAACTCTTTACCTACCCCCTCCAGACAGGCAGAGTTTGACAGGTGGCTAGGGCCACCCACCTCTCCCTCATCTGATGTCATGATGATATTAGGTGATTGATAGGCGGGTGGCTTCAACCGCTTGCCAAAGATGGCCTGTGATTTGGGGGGAAGGGTCTGCTTCATCTGCACATTCCCCACAGAATGCACTGGCAAAGCAAGATGGCTAGGAACATTTGCTTGAGAACTTTGACTCTCATTCAGCTGGACTCTGAACCTCCTGAACAAGTTCACTTCTACATTCAAATTCTCACCACCTCCCACTCATTGACAACAGTTCCTTTGAACAGTGATGCCTTCACAGAAATGAGTGCCATTTCATATTTGTTTTACTCTCAGCTAGGAGCAAAGTGTGAGAAAAAGGGTGTGTTGCTACTTCCATCAACAGAGTTGCAACCCCAAGGATGCCACCATTCTAACTCATGAGACCAAATTCAACTAGATAGTTGCACTAGTGGAATCTAGCACCATGACTTCCAGTAACACAATGGGGTTTCCTCCTCTCCTCCCCCTGGGACCCTTGCTATGGGCAAGAATGTGCCCATAGAAACATTTGACTATTTTCTGATATGGTACCTGTTTTCTTACAAGCCGCTTTCAACATGAAAACTATTATGTGGGGAGCAGGTACAGCCACTGACTGAAACTTAGTCAAGGAGGCCAAGAAACACGACTCTTTTTATGCCAACTTGGCACTCTTCAATAGAATTCACTTAGAAACAGATTTCTACAAAATTACCCACAATTCATGCGTGGTATATCTAGCAAAATAAATGACTGTAACTCGAATTCTTGGATGAACTCATGCAGCCATCTTTGCGTGAGTTGAAATGCAGTAAGGTCATAACAGTTGTGGCTACTCTGGTGGAAATGAGCAAAAGTGTGAATTTTTGTTTTGTTTGCTTCATTCTTATGCTCTTGTTATAATCTGTTGTGTTGATAAAATACCTCTGTAATAATATATATACTGAGAAAAGGCAATGAAAGTGTTGAAAAAAATAAGTGGAATTTACCAGCTCAAAAAGAATGTATAAACTGGCCTCTAAGGGAATAAAGGTCCAATCAACAAAAAATAAGCTGATATATGGTCCATCAAGTGCCATTAAATAAATTTATATTGATGCAATCTCCAAATTGATGCAATCTCCAAATATTGATGCAATCTCCCAATATTGATGCAATCTCCAAAAAATGCAGCATCTCCAAAATAATAATAATATATTTTTTTAAAACAAAGCAACAGAGCTGCTGGAAGGTACAAATCTGCCTAAACAATTACTGTCTGTGGCCACAGCATGAACCACAAAAATCATACATCCACTGTTTCGTATAGAATATTTTTTTTCTTGTTTTCCTCCTCTAAAAACTATGTGCGTGTTATGGTCAGGTGCGTGTTATAGAGCGATAACTATACGGTAACTATAATGCTGAGTTTTCAACAGCAAGAAAGAAGTTTCTCTGGTTTCCTTCTGTGTCACATTGAGGTAGTTGAGCTGTTTCATTCCTCTGCTCAACTCATGGCTTCCAACTCTACAATTCGCCCTCAATGACAAATGCTGATTTCAGTGCTGTTTGCTCAGAAAAAGATACTGGCAAGCCACAGTCTTTTCCAATGGCAGCCATACACGAGCTTTCACAACATTTTGTATGTATACCGATAAGTGTTGCAAAGGCCAAATTACAATGCGTGCGCTGGAGAAAGCCTAAATTTGTCTGGTACCTTTGCCCTTCTATTTGTGTGCTCACATGTTAAAATCTCTTGGCCAGATTTTAAAAGCTGCATGTGACATCGGCATTACTGAAGCAGTGTCACAAAATCCAGGAAGCACTCTCTTCGAAACCCAGAATGCTAACTTAAAGCCACTTTAAGGGCAATGGATGCACCAGAGCTAGACAACTGGCTCTGTCTAGTAGAGGCTTCCTGTCAATACAGAGCAGATCCAAACCATACATTTAAAATACAGAACTTCCCCCAAA